TAGAAAGGCTTTGTCCCCTCCTCTTGCTTTCGCATTCCCCTGCATTTTTCTAGCGGCCAAAAGAATGAAAATGACTGGGGTTGGGGAAGAGAAACATTTCAGTTTTCAGGAAATTGAATGAAAAAAATTCAGATCGTTTGCAACTGGCAGCAAAGAGCAGCTGTTCGGACATTTCTGACCTGTTGGGCCTCTGGGTAAGATGGGAAAGGAAACGCCCAGGACACGGTGTCTCCCTGCAGGTATGGTCCCTGCGGTGGAAGCGCTCGAGGACCTCAGGCTAAGACCAGCCTCGGTGCCACACTGCCCCTGTACTTCATCAGCACACTCTGTTGCAGGAAAGCCCTTTATTAATATGGTAATTATACTAATAAGGGACTGCGAACGTGGCGGGCGGATAGATTATCAGGCAGCCAAGCTACCAGGAGTCCGGCTTGGCTCAGTCAGGTTTATTACATTGACATTAACTGGAGTGTAACCCCAATAATAGCAAAACAACAGAACTGGGGCCACAGAGACAATACAGGAACAACACGGTACAAGGTGATACTTTACAACGCCAAGGTCGTCTCTCTCTGATCTCTGGTGCTTGACGTCTCAAATCACTTTGGTGAGGCCAGGACCCACACCTGCTAGGGGACTGTTGTGCTGGCCACTATCTCGCCACAGGGATCCACAAGACGGTCCAGACACTGCATCTGCCACGATGCTGGTCTGGTCCTGGAGTGATCTAGCCGCTCTCACGGGGACCAACCACTCAACGCACACCCCAGGAACTATACGCCTCGCTCAGCCCAACATCATAGGTGTAACACACCCGCATTCTCCACCAGGCAGCCTCCAGCGCTGCTCACGCTCACTGACACACCCTGCACGCACCAAGACATGCCATACACACATGCCGGTGCACTTCCGCGGGGTTATTTTATCAGTGGGAGCTTGGCAACACACCACCTCCTCCTCCTCCAATCAGGTGCTGAATATGCCAGTCTCCTTGGTGATGGTGCCTGCCACTCATCCAAACTGCTACAATCTTTTACTCAAGGGCACTCATTTCTCCCTTTTAAGGACTGTCCCTTGCACACCTGTCAATCACACTGCATTTCCCACCAACACGCTAACTCATGGAAAAGTAGGACAGGAGTCAAAAGTTCACTCCTAGGGTTTCTGAACCAGGCCTCAATGGGCACGCTTGACCGTAAACAGAGCAAATCAAAACTGGAGAGCTGCACACTCAACTTATTTGGGATCCTCCTCTGGAAGAAACAAGGGACCACTGCCCATCACCTGGCTCCAGGGCCACTCTTCCAGCCCGGTGTTGCATGCTGAGTGGTGGCGGGAGCATCCCTTGGCGGCTGGGTTGTCCTTGTCATTGGTGGCTGGGCCAGCCGTGGCAGTGGCTGCTCTCCTTGCCCCCTCCCAAGCTGGCACATGGGACTGATGCCCTGCACCCACACCCTAGTTATGTCACCACATCCTTTCTCCTGCTACAGCCCACTTCCCTGTGTCCAGGCCCAGCAGATCCCCCACCTTCTTCCTTCTGCTGTGGTTCTCACCGGATACTATTTGGATCACACATTCCCATTGTTTCCAGAAGAACAATAGGACGTAAACCCGGCTGGAGGGAGCGCCGTGCCAGGCATTTCATTTCAAAGGCAGCATGCATCCGAGCATGTGCAGCCACACTCAGCTTTGTGCCACCTCAAAAACCAAGCGAGCCCCATGATGCTGAGTCAACCACCCAGAAAATGTACATCTGGTAGGTATACACCGAACTAGATTTGGATTTCTCTCCATCCCAATTGCCTGAATCGTTAGCAGATGACCTAAAATTGAAAGCTCCATAGACAGTGATTGGGAGAAGGGCACCCGATTCGCATTAAGAGTGGGCTCTTGGTTCAGAGTCGTGGCTTTTGGCTTGGATCACAAAAGTCAGGACTACTTTTTTCCCTGTAGTTAAATGGAAGGAATGTCTCTGCTCCGTGGAAAGGGCTTGTCAGCCCAAACACGTGAGAAAGCACAAGAAACCCAAACAGGTGAAGGGCAAATACTGTAAGCAGCCCGAACTGCCCTAGGGCAAAGGGCTCATTCTGGAAGAGGGCAGTCTATTGTGGTGAATACTCCCCGAATGGATATTTCTCTTCTTTACTCACAGGCTTTTGACACAGTCTTGATCTTGCACAAGCAGTGCATGCGTCTTGAGAAGCAGCCAGCTGATAAGGGAAAGTTAGGAGCTTTGCACCTAAGTGGGAACTGGGGCTGGGCCAGCTTAAATTACTCGGCTCTGTTTCGGGGTGCCGGTCGCCTCTGGCACCCGTGTTACAGAATTAGGAAGGATGCCTAGATGGGCTGCATACACAAAACTAGAACTCTTGGTTCCAAAATGATACCTTTTATTAGTCCAACTGGAAAATGGCAGGAAAACTGTCCTTTTCTGCAAGCTTTCGGGGTCAAAATCCCATTGTCAGGCTCTGGGAAAAGCGTGGATGGTACACAATGGTAAAAAGTCCCCATAGGTAGAAAATAAAGTTCATTTTTGCACAGAGGGGGCTGCAGATGGAAGGTTGTCCCTCTGGGTCCATGAGAGTGTCTTTGTGATGTGCTGTAGGGTGAGCAATATCATGCTGGCGCATCCACATCAGCCAATCCCAAATCTGGGGGCAGAGCTGACCCCGGTGTCGAGCCAGGGAACCACTCCTGTTTTGCACTTGACACTCCAGCAATTTGGTAGGACAGCTGCGCGGCGTTCACGTTGCTCTCAGGGATGGTGCGGCCTCTTGGAGCTGAGAAACACACATCCTGTTCCCTCCTGGGGCTTTGGCTTCTAGCCCCCATTAAACCAGTTTCTCCATTAGCTCTGCCCCTTCTGCAATCGACTTACCCCCGCCCAAAATGGGCAGAAAGTCCTGCCATTCTCACTTCCTTCTGTTTTGCCCTCAGCTTGGCAAGGAGAAATGACTCTGTGGGTTGCAAGGGCAAGAGGAAACCAGGCCAAAGGGCTGTGTTTGTTTGTTGTTGGAGAAAAATAGAGCGCTCAAGACATTCAACATGAAACAAAAACAGTGAAGATAGCAATACACATAGATTACTAATGGGCCAATGGCAGCCCATCCCAATGATGTAATGCTTCTTGCTTGTGTTTCATTGGCTGGGTGCGTTGCCACTCTTCCTCCTGCAGTACTGGCAGTACCTTGGAATAAGAGTGAATCCCGTTTTAGCTTGCTGGGGCGCTTGACGTAATCTTGGTTGGAAGAGCAGCTGTTTGCTTTCCAGGTCACCTCCAAACACAACATTAGCCTTGCTCAGGAACGAGCAGGAAGGCGGGGAGGATCGTCAGGGATCCGAGGGGATCCAGGACGAGCTGCTAGGAAAGTCAGAAATGCACACCCCCCAGATGTATTTCGGATTCTCCTTCCTCTGCCACTTGTCAGCTACCACCGGGTTGCATCTGCATGCAACGAGAAATTTCTTCCTGACCCCTGCTGGTGAGCAGCCCCTGACGCACGAGGGTTGAAATGTTTTATTCTAGGTAGCTTGACGGTGTTATTCCGTCAGGCCTCATCTTAAAGTGTTTATTTGCCTTGGGAAATCTCCTGTGGCAGTGAAGTCCGCAAGTTAATCACGTAGCTGTAAAAAGCTGCAGTCCTCAATGTGCCCCACTTTTCCGTGCACACCATAAAGCCCCTTCCCTTCTACTGGAAAACCACAATCAAGAGTTGAGCTGTGAAACCACAGACTTCTACCCAACCCGTCCTGTGCCCTTTCAGTCTCATGCTTGCTAAGGGATGAGCAAAGGCTGCGCTACAAGGATCAAGACAATCACCATCTAGGTCAAGGACGAATTCATAGAAACACGGAAAATGAGGGTTGGCGGGGACTTCAGCTCGCATGGGGTGCTTGTACACGCCACGGCGTTTAATCCTTGTTAATTTAAGTCCAACCCTCTGCTCAAAGCAGGACCATCCCCAATTAGATCATCCCAGCCAAGGCTTTGTGTAGCTGGGTCTTAAAGACCTCCAAGGATGGAGACTCCACAACCTCTCCGGGTACAGTCCCCTACTGCAGCAGTTCACTCCCAATCCCTGCATCCGGAGCCGAACAATCAGGGTGTGTGTTAGGATGAGGGGCCTTGCTTTAGTCTGAAGCACCACGGACTGGCAGCTGCTGTAGGCAGAATACCAGATGTAGTG